TACCTGCCACAACAGTTGGTCAAAAAATACATAAAATCATCAACTTTAGGCGTATCAACAATAAAACCAATTAAGGTTCAAGAGTAGAATGACAATTGATATATATCTCCAATTAAGAGATTGTGAGTTCGATCCCCATCCTCACATATTGTACTAAAAATAGTAAGGATATCTTTATGAAAGTCAAACACTTATTTTTTATTTTTTTTCTAAAAAGTGCACTGAATATAATCTGTGGACCAAAAATTGAAAGTTTATCTAAAATCTAATAGATAAAAAAATAAAAAATAAGAAACTATTTTCTAAAATTGAAAGTCCTTTCTCTCATGTGAAACTGCTCTATTTTCAACCCAAACAAAATCTAAAAGATCAAAACAGTATTTATGTAAAAAAAAAAAAGATAATGTTTTTGGAAGGGCTGTTTTAGAAAGTTATTTACAACCTCGAAGGATCTATATAAACCAATTATCCAAGATCTATGACCATATTATGTTAACTGTTCGTATTTCGTTCATTCTATCGGTATGCTCCCAGGTACCTGTAATTGTGATCCGTTTGCCAGAACTAAGGGGTCTTTCTGTGGAAACCTTCACGAACAATCGTCGTTTTTTTATGGTTTTTCCGCTTTTCACAGCAGCTCTTTCCACACCTCCGGATATCTGGTGYCAAATCGTCGCCCGTTTCCTTATTTCTTTGATAATCGAGTTGGCTATCTTTGTGGCATCGATTGTACAAGTTCGTGAAAAGGGCTGGACGAATGGAATGAGGGAAAGCGGCTCGATCGACAAAAAAGAAGAGGGGAACCCCTATAACCTGGCAAAGTCACTATCAATGAATTCCCGAGCAATTCTCAACCAACATATGCGATTCATTCCCATTTCGATTTCTGCAGGTAAGATTTTATTTTAATTTATATATATATATATATATATATGGAGATATAAACTATATCCGGTTACCTTTTTATTTATATGAAAATATAAACTATATCCGGCAATAAACTTAAGCAACGTACACTTAACAATGGTGATATAAACTATAGCCATTAAAACATACACTTAACAATGGTGATATAAACTATAGCCATTAAAACATACACTTAACAATGATGATATAAACTATAGCCATTATAACATACACTTATATGGAGATATATCTGGTTATAAAATATATACGACTATATCCCTCTACAATTAACAAACAAAGCAAAGAACCTACAAACCTTTTGATCGATGACTAGATAATGGTCGAGATAAACGGAGGACTCAAATGGTCGACGGACGGCTGGCGACAAAAAAGAAACATCGGGATAAATGAATAGAAACAATGGACAGGCTGTCGGAGACGAAGGAGAAGCTAGACGGATTGTTCCAACGATGAAGAAGAACGACGACGATGGCCGAAAATGAAGGAACGCAGACGACGGTCGGAGACAAAGAAATGAACGGAAACATAACGATAGAGGAAGAAGAAAAACCGGAGGAATGAAGTTTTTGAGTTTTTCAATAATGGAAGGTTTTGCGGATTTGATATTTTTTACAGGGATTTAARATGTAAGCTCCCAATTAACCAATTTTGAATTTTAAAAATAAAAAAAATATATTAGTAAATTTGGGGATGGGTACCATCTTAAATGGTTATTTTACGACAAAAGTGTAAATTTTATACCATTCAATTTTTTTTTAGGTAATTAAAGTCTCTAAATAGACTATGAGTGTATTAATCCCGACAAAAAATCTAATGAACCAGCTTGTTTTTACTTATTCTAAAATTTATTTATTTGTTTTTTATTCCAAAATTTATTTAATTCTAGGATCATTATGTTTCACCGACTTGCAAAATTAACAATGAAAATAATTAAAAATTTTCAACAAATATCGAGACATGTTCCTACTCCGTTTTTTTTCTCTGAAAAATAAAAAAGTTATTTTTAGAAATCACTCTCAAACATTTACCGTACAAAAATTCGGTAAATTGTTGCATCATTCAATTAATATACTTTTTTTCGGAGTTTTCATCTTAAAAAAAAACAGAAAAGAAAAGAAAAGAAAGAATAAAATTAAGGAAACCGTGAAAGAGTGGTTGATTTATGGTTCGGAGTGATCGTGACAGACGAGTCATAAAGAGACACGTCAGCACGTGTCGCGTCCGTGAAACGCCCATATTCAACGGGCTTGCGGGATAACAATCGGCCATGGGCTTCACGGACTGCTACAATGGACAATTTGGAGTAGGTACAAAATTGGGCCCAATTTTGGTAGCCCGCGGGGCCATCATAATAATAATAATTATTATTTTTTTCTCAACTTCTCAAATGTGGCATTTTATTGTTTTTTTTAGTACAACGTGTTAGGAAAGAGATTGGAACTGACAATCTTTTGGTTGGAGGTATATACCAATTACCGTTGAACTATGCTCGCGTTGACATGTGGCATTTTATTGTTGAAAGTTAGACCATTCTCCAATAAGTTACTCTGAGGAATAATTTCTATTTTTATGGAACCTCATATTCTCATTTGCAATGTAATATTCTAAAAAAAATCAACTTAAGCAAAAATAAAATAAATTGAAAAAATAGAATTAATTTTGTTTTGTTTTTTTTTCCTTTTTTGGGTTCCCGAAACCCCAAGCAAAAGAAAAGCCAAAATTCGCGACGACTTTTGCCGGAGAGAAAATTTGCCCGACTAGGGAACTCAAGTGTGCAGCCCAAGGAAGTATATGCTCCCTTTTATAAAGTTTTGGAAATAAATAATTAATAAGAATTAAAAAGGCAAAGTATCACTACTCAATTTTAGTATAATTAATTGATTGATTTAGTCTAAAAACGTGTTAATATTTTTATTGTCACAAAATAGTTTGCAATAATAGGAAAAATATTGATAATTAAATCTTTTAAAACTCCTCAACATAAAGTAGAAAAACTGATTTAGTATCCATTTTTCTACTTTATGCATGCTCATGATCTTTAATTGCACTTGATTTAAGTTTAATAAATTACTATATTATTTGTATTTATTGTCTACAGGTTCTTATAACTTTAAATATTGTTTATCGCATTTGATTGAAAATGATTGAATCATGGAATCCATCTACTGGGCTGTCATCTTCTTGCATCAAAATTCCTACTTTTATTGTATGACAACAAGCACAATGGACAACAAAGGAACTTCGATACTCGAAGAAATTAATATAATTAAGAGCAATACATTAATAATTTACAATAATTCGATTGATAATAAAAATTAATCCATCAAGGATTCATCATTCATCAATATGTTAGAAAATACATGATTTATCAC